AGGGGTTAAGGGTTTTGGGGGTTCGGGGTTTAGGGGTTTTGGGGTTTGGGGATTTAAGGGGTCTAGGGTTTGGGGTTTAGGGCGTCGGGGATTTAAGGATTTGGGGATTTAGGGGGTTTAGGGATTTAGGGATTTCGGGTTTGGGGATTTAGGCTTTCGGGTTTAGGGTTTGAGGGATAGGGATTTAGGGTTTCGGGTATAAGGGGTTTAGGGTTTTGGAGATTTAGCCTTTCGGATATAAAGGGGTTTAGGAAGTGAGGGATGGGGGTTCGAGTTTCGGGGTTTGGGGATTTAGGGTTTCGGGTGCAAGGGGTTTGGGGTTTTGGGGATAGGGATTTAGGGTTTAAGGTTTAGGGTGTTTAGGGATTTAGGGTTGAGGGGATTTAGGGTTTAGGGTTTTTTTGCTTTAGGGAGGGTCTAGGCTCATAAGTCATAAGGTTTCCGGTATAAGGTTTAGGAGTGTTCAGGCTTTCGCTGAGTCGAGAAAAGACCAGGTATGGCAGCAAAAGCAGGGACAGTACATCAAGTTAGTCTGTGGTTAGTTAAGCCAGGACTGGAATCTTTCAGGTTTAGTTACGTTGTGCAGAGCTACTGTTCGGCGAAGTCGGGATGGCAACAAACTCATCATGACCCATGATAAGGGAGCATGCTTCTGTCAAGCACTCACATGCAAAGACCACCTATGGGCGAAGTTTCGGAAATCATGCAAGTGACCCTATAAGCCGTCACCCTAAACCCTAAACCCTAAACCCTAAACCCTAAACCCTAAACCCTGAACCCTAAACCCTAAACCCTAAACCCCAAACCCAAAAAAAAACTCCCCAAACCACCCGGGCAGGAGGAGGATGGACCCTGGACGCCCGACGAGGTGGGAGCGAACTGCGTAGCTCGATACTTTCAGCTGCCGGGCTCCGACTTTGCAGACCGTCGCCTATGAAGTCTTAGTAAGATCCTAGGACCCTACAAACGAACCCAAGTCCAGAATAGGATCCAGAATAAGAGTATGAATGCCTATTAATAAGAAGAGGAATCGACTAGAATGATCCCTAAGAGAGGTCTTGCCTCGGACCCTTCGTCTTCCCCGTAGGCATCCTTCAGCCCAGGTTTATCACAGAGAGCGGTCGCCATGCTCCATTTGGGCTTTGGCCGGCGGACTCGATGTGCGTCTTGACGGCTGCAGGTTTAGGGCGAACAGGGTTTACAGGGTTGAGGGCTGTGTGACAGTGTGAGGTTTACAGGCTTTAGGGTTTAGGGTCGAAAGGGTTTTATAGGGCTTATAGGGATTAGGGTTTGGTGTGCTGCCAACAGGATAAAGCCTGCTCGGCCTTGGGGATTGGAAAGACACCGTTAGGCGTGGGGCAAGGTTTCAGGAAACTTCGGACAACATTTCTCAATGCTGCACACAAAGCTTCCCAACCCCAGTTTTTGCTGGTTTTGCCTGCTGAGAGGATGTGAGAGTTTCTGCATGCACGGAAATGTCCTGCAGATGGCAAAAATACTAGGATCCTGACTCACCGAGGTAAGTTCGAGCCGGAAGTGCCAGTGTGGCATGACTCCTTCGAGGTGTCAGCAGGGCTTCGAGTTAACAAAAAACCCCGACACCCTAATAGCCACGGTTTAGGGTTTTAGGGTTTAGGGTTCAGGGTTTAGGGCTGAGGGCCTAAACTAAACCGGTTCATGGTTGATGGTTCAGCGGCTGCTTACCATGGTAAAGCTCGGTGGATTCAACATCGAGCTTGTGCATCTTCTCAGTATCGGGCCCATCGATTGGAAGCCCTCAACCCTAAACCCTAAACCCTAAACCCCACTTAAGGTGGAAACCGGAAGGCCTGAAGCCTCAGCCCTAAACCTGAAGCCACAAACCGTTTCCTGCAGGCATGTATCGAAAAGCCTTGCGAGGCTGGAGCCCCATAGCTTTGTAGTCCTACCCTAGAGTTGAAAATCTAAACCCAAAACCCTCAACTTGACCTGTAATCCTACAACTCCCCAGACTGCTCTTAAGGTCCCAAGACTCTCTTCCCCGAACCTTGGGGACGTGGGGATCGTAAAGCCTTAGGACCAAATTCCCAAAAAGTGCGTCAAGACCCGGGCCTGGAATGATACAGATGTCAAAACATACTCCAAAACCATATTCAATTAACAAGGGCCCATGTAACTTACAACAGACACCATAGAACCTTGTAGACCTTTGTAAGCTCTAATTATAACAACACCCTGTAGCAACCCCAACCCCAAAACCCGAACAGCCCAAACGAGCCTACTATGGTACTGGGAGGTCTCCGCGCCGGAGCCCCTGTCTGGGCTGATCGGTGGCGCAGTCCTCCACGCAGGCTCCTCATTGGGGTTTACATTTAAGGGTTTTGGTGGGGTTCTTATATTGGGTTGTATCGGGCTCCATTTGGGGATTTCCGAAAATAGGGGACCCCAATATAGTACCCTAAATAATAAGATCCTGATAAAAGGACAAAATAAGGTACCCCAAATTTTTGGAAACTCCCATTTATATGTGGCCCGGGGTTCTGTAGGGTTAGGTCTCGACTGGAGTCCTTGTCTTGGATGCCTTGAACCACAGCCTTCGCCAGCCGAAAAACCGAGCAAAAGCAGTGACTGTAGTCGCTGGGGTCTCAGGGTTTAGAGCTCAAAGGCGTCTCTAAACGCTAAGCCCAAAAAAACCCTAAACCCTAAAGCCCTACCCATAGGCCCCATAGTAGTTCCTGTTTGTGGCTTATATTTAGAATTATATTAGGGAATCCCAAAAAGGAACTACTATGAGGGCTATGGGTAGACCCTTAAACCCACACCTTGCTTGTGGAAGGAGCCCAGCGCTTCGACGTGAAGATTCCCAGCCTCTCAATGCTGGAGCCGCAACGTCCGGCTGCTTCGCCTTGTTCAGGTCCCCCTTTTGAAGGGTTCCTGAAAGGGCTCCTTCTAGCAGTTCCCCTTTAAATTAAAGGGTTCCTTTGAGGGCTCCTTCTAACAGTCCCCTTTAAATTAAAGGGTTCCTTTGAGGGCTCCTTCTAACAGTCCCCTTTAAATTGAAGGGTTCCTTTAAGGGCTCCTTCTGACAGTCCGCTTTAAATTAAAGGGTTCCTTTAAGGGCTCCTTCTACCAGCTTTCTTTTGGGGTTCCGTTACAAGGGTTCCTTCAAGGGCGGCTCAGGAGGTCGGGTCTACTTCTGCTTGGGGTTATAGGCATTAGGGTTGATAGGAATCGTTGCCTTCAGGATCCCAGTATACCATTGACTAGTCCCTGGTGTGCAGAAGTTTCAATCGGTCTTTCAGCAAATCGAGCCGGAGGAAACACACCGAATTCAAAAAGGTAGACAGGACGATGAACGATGAAAACTTCGCAAGCTGGTGGCATCATTCGGAAGGCCACGAATGCAGGCCCCTTGAAGCATGTGAGCTACATGTACTGAATCTCAACCCTGTCGCACTTCCGGCAGGGGGCCAGGGCCCCTTCGAATTTTGTGGGTCTTGGGTCAAGGGCTTAGGGGTGTAGGGTCGGCGGGGAGGGGAGATGCTATTGCACCAGCATGTGAAGGCTCAGTGGGGTCTCCGGCACTTGGCTCCGCAGTTCCTAAACCACAACTCACATAATGGCCCCCGAAACCCTCATCTGAGTCTTGACGCTGCTACACCACTGAAACCCTAAACCTTTAACCCCTAAACCCTCAACCTACAAACCCTACATACCCTAAACCCTAAACCCCAAAACCTACAAACCCTAAGTCCTTATCCTACAAACGCTGAACCACCGGCTAAGGACTGGGCCAAGCACTGCACGCATGTGGGCCGAGTGAAGCTGCCCCAGGGCGAGTGGAGCTTCGGAGCTTCATGAGCAAGAAAAGGGTTTTGGGTTTTTGGGGTTTAGGGTCTTAGGGTCTTAGGGTTTTGGGTGTGGGGTTTAGGATCTTAGGGTTTAGGGTTTAGGGGTTTAGGGGTTTAGGGTTTAGAGCTTTCTGAGCAAGAACATGCATTACAGAATAGTTGGTATTATTAGAATTTCGTCATAGTCCGTAGGATTAGAGTAGTTGGTATTAGAATTAGTCTTCCCTCGAGTGTCCCCAAAAGAACTACAGGGGTCGAGATAGTCACCAGTCTTGTTCCTCAGGGGGTTCGTGATGCTACTTATATTGTAGTATCCCGCCCAAGAGATATGTTCTTCTTACTACCTATTGTCATGTTAAGGATCCTTTTGAAGGTTAATCCCAACAACTAGAATGGAGACTATGGGTAAGGCTCTTCTGCTGTGTTACATGCCAGGTGGTGGATTGCGGTGAGTACTGAATCGTTTGCTGCCTGTGCTGCTAAAATGCGTACATTTGGGCAGTTCTCTAAGATTAGGGTCCTCCCCGAATTAGTAGCACGGCAACCGTATAAAAGCACCCTAAAAGGGACCCTAATTTATAGAACTGCCCATTGGCGCAGCGGAGACCCAAGTCCGCTAGACCTCGAAATCAGGCTTGCTGTTGCACAGAAGTATGGAGGAGGTGTACGAAGATCCCTAAACCCTGAACCCCAAAAGCCTAAATCCTCAACCCTGAAACCCTAAATTTTAAACAGGCCCTAAACCCAAAACCTAAACCCTGAACCCCAAAACCCTAAATCCTCAACCCTGAAACCCTAAACAGGCCTTGAACCCAAAGCCTAAACCCTGAACCCTAAACCCAAAAGCCGTGAAAAGGGGCCCGCGAAGTTTTTGCACCCGACAAACGTGGCCTGGCACAGGTCGAGAGGCCTCGTCCTCCGATTCGGTGAAGGTTCATCGGGCTCAGGTTTAGGGCTTTAGGGGTTTGGGGGCTTAGGGGTTTAGGGCTTTAGGGGTTCAGGGGTTTAGGGGTTTACGGGTTTAGGGGTTTAGGGTCAGGATTTTGGATTTAGAAGTGCGGTTCGGTTAAGGGGTTGGGATTCGGATTCAGAGTTGAGGGTTAAGCATCCAGGGACCGATTAGGCAATTCTGGGCTTAGGCGCAGAAGGATGCCGCTAAGAGAATGCTTGCTTATGGCGCTTGTAGTTTGGGGATTTGGCGGTGAGGGGCTGTATTTCTTTAGGGTTCAGGGTTGATGGCGGACGAGGTTTTGAGGCTTGAGTTCAGTTCTCAGCGGTTCTGCCGGAAGGGTTGAGAAAGATTTGGGCTGACACAGGAGGCCGTAAAGTGAACAGAATCATGAACTTCCCCCACGATTGCGGTTCACCTCCCAGACAGGAAGCAGCATTGAAGCCTTCTACCTCAAAAGAGCATGCTGAGCTCAAAACCGGACAACCCAGTACCCGAGAAACCCTGCAAGTGGCTAACTGCCTGCAAGCTGCACGTGGGTATTTGCTTTGCATTAGGGTCCCTTGTAGGGTCCTTTTTGTAAGGATGCCGTACTATTTGGGGGACTTAAAAAGGAGGAACTACCTACCTTAGACCCCTCGCAGCGCTAACCCGCAGCTCTCCGATCCGGACTGACGGTGCTTAAGGGCTTCGAATGTGCTTGCTATAATATACTAGAACTTACATAATGTACTAGATTAGTTGATCTTAATCTGCTATAATACGCTAGAATGTATTACAGTATATACTATAGTATAGTAGATGCTTTCTTCTAATAGAGGACTTAGTACGTAGAGTTCCAAGCGCCTGATCGTGCCTTGTCTCAGGCTCGAAGCTGATACAACCATAAACCTAAACCCCATAGCCTAAACCCCTAAACCCTAAAACCATAACCCGCCCCGCTCGAGGGTTCGGAGGGTTACAGTGTCATGCCTATGGATGAAGTTTAGTTACTATCATATCCTGTAACCTATCATGGACATAGTTACTATAATATCCTATAACCCATGATGTACTATAGTTAGTATAATATCCTATGACTTATAATGAGCAACAGTAGTATGCTGTCATATACTAAGCCCCCCCAGTGGCAGGCCTATGGATGACCGCCCGACTGCAGGGGGCGGCGAAGAGTGTGGATGTGGCAGCCGGGTGCCCGAGGGGAGCTGGGAAAGTTCGGGTCCGGTATCTTTGGCGGGGGGGGGGGGGGGGGG